ATTATTATTATTATTATTATTATTATTATTATTATTATTATTATTAAGTAATTGATAAATTAATTAACCGAAGTAATTGACGCTTTACATTGCTAAGGTACGGACATGCGCATGTGCAGCGATGGAACATGTGTTTGTCGTGAATGTTTTCTTTGAAAAACAAGTTAATTCCATGAAAATGATTACACAAAAAAAATTGTTATGAAAACAACAGGTAAATGCATTTTGAAATATCCCTGTTCTTTATTAACTACCGGGATGTGGTAACATTTTTAAGCACGAAGTGTCATTCATAATTAATTAATATTACTTTATTTAATGTTGTCTTAATTGCTTCATCTTGTGAAGTCACAGTAAGGGAAATGAGAGACACAATTACGGAGAATTTCAGATGGGTTTAATTCGATTCAACCTGATATTTTGAAATATCGTAATTGTTGATAAATATTGTCTACAAATCATAATGAAACAAATTAAACAAACAAAAGTTCAATATTTTTCTAATTACCTTAGCCGTTAATAACATTATAAGATTCCTGTTTTTAATTAATTCCCGGGAAGCAGTGCGTCAAAGAGTGGAATAACTTGCCTTTATAACTGCGTTGTTTTGAGAGAGATCTTCGTCTGGCCCAACGTGTTAGCTCACGACAGATAGTGGAGAATCCTTGTCGAAGCCTACCCCAGACAACAAAGAGTTGGACAAGAAGAAACATAGAACAGAAAGGGCCTGGCGAACAATACAAATATATATTTTGAAGAATCTACTACACAAAGCCGTAGGTAGGTAGCCTATACATACATGTATGAGCTTTTTAACATCAAACAGGTGATTCATTGTCGGTATTTTGTCCGGTTGGAGTAAACATATTTAAAAATGTATTTACAATTTGCACATAACTTTGAAGTCGAGTACATGTGTCATAGCATGGTGGATATCAAGATGAAGAGATTCAGAGATAGCGTGTCTCAAGTCACTGTCACTCTACAGCGAATAGCACTACATGTAGACCGCATGAGAATATTGCTCCTACACAGACAAAACGTTTTGTCTACTCAGACTAACATAAATAACGCAGAAACACGCAGAAAATAGTTCAAATTTTTACAGAGTGTACGAGCATGAGTCGTTCATGTACGTTAGCCATACGCTAGGAATACGCTAGGTATACGACGAATGCAGTGACGTTAAGTGTATTTAACAATACGCTTCTCATTCTGTGGTTGATATAACTAGCGTATGCAGATGATATAAATAACGTACTTCAGACGAACCAGTTACGTATTGAAGGTATCTCTAATGATTGGGCAATGTATTAAGACGTATGCCTGACGTATATCAACACATTCTTAACGTATTTAAGCACATGCCAAACACTGAACGTTATTTACTCTATTTGCATGTATACATGCGCTCAAAGTTGTGCATTGAGCCCATTGCATTTGTCTGTGTATAAGCAATTTATTTCACTCGTTTAAGTGCGATATATTCTGTACTGTGACAGTGCCTACTTTTTTTACTTCGTTTGGGTAACATTTAGGTTATACTATTGACCTTTATACGATCGGTTCATTAGAACACTTTTATATATACTTGATTTTTCGGTTAAAGTATCGTTTAGGAACGGAGTTGAACCAACTTCGGATTTGGCCCAGTGTTAAATAGGCTCCTCATCATCTTGTCTATCTTGATAAAAGTTTTATTATGGTGATAATGAGATCATTTATACTGAAAATTGCAAAGTGTTAGGATGCGTTTTCCAAACGCTAATCAAGCGTTAGGCGTACGTTTAATACGCGAATCAATAGTTACAGATACGTGAATGACGTTACTCCTTCGCCACTATTATGTTACTTACTAATGAGCTACGCAAAGTCAAATTTTATCAGTTATCGTATGAGAAACGTACCTTAACGCCATTTTAAGCATGGTCAAACATTTGTGTACATGTATATATGTAAGCTTGTATGCATGTAAGCAAAATAGTTCTCACATGAAGCGGCACAATTTTAACCTTTTCAGGCATGGCCTCTTCAAAATGGTGCCTTACCGTAGCCCTGCTGTTCTTGTTAACCGTGACTCAGGTGACCCAGGCGGAAGGAGACAAGCAGGTGAGAACGCTGGGTCAACTTAAAGGAGCACTCCGACGTGCCTACGCCATTATCGAGATGCAAAGCCGACCAAAGTAGGTATCACGCTGTTCTTAAGACCGCATTCACAACGAATTGAGCCAGGCTTTACAAATCCTGGGGACTAAATATGGCGGACGTACATGAAAGAAAAACCGCCTAATCTTTTAATAGTCTCTCCGCCTCTCACACGCCTCCCCACGCGTCGTCCCTGCGGGGGTACAGTCATCATATCTCTGCTCCATTGGGACTACACATGGGGAGGCGTGTAAGAGGCGGAGAGACTATTAAAAGATTAGGCGGTTTTTCTTACATGTACTTCCGCCATATTTAGTCCCCAGGATTTGTAAAGCCTGGCTCAATTCGTTGTGAATGCGGTCTAAGACTGTTTAGTTAGGGACACTGAGCAAAGGTATAAACGTCCTAGGCCTACGATATACTTTGAAATTTTATCAGCATTATAGGTTATGTATAAATATAATATTAAATCATTTGAGACTTGATAAACCTTATGCAATAATACTGGTAGAACACAATGTATGTAGTTAGTCCCACAGTAATCTTATGTTAACGAAAGAAGTAGAAGTGTAGAATCTAATCCGATCAAATTTCAGACCGCCGATAAATGTCGTTTCCCCTAGTCATTTAAAAATGTGATTTGATTCCCCATTGACTAGTTCCTTTAATTTTTCTCAAATTTTTAAACGTATGGAACACCAGTGTCTTATCATATATTCCAGCTTTTGAGTTACAATCTCGTGAAAATAATTCGCCTGTCTTTTAATTAAATTTTCTAAATCTTATTTACCAGATTTGGAAAGCGGAAATTTTCCTCGTATCCTATCGCTGACGCTGATGACTCGCTTTGCTGTGTAGGCGTGGACAAGAAGGCAATAGCACGCGGCGCTTTCGGAGAGGCTGATTTGGAAGAAGATATGTGAACACACACTGCTTTGAAGGACAATATCCAACGGCTAACAGACTTTCCCACCTAAACGGACCGTGTACAGTGTCTGCTTCATCTGTGGCTTGCCTTGCGAACTCTCAAGTTGACATTTAGAGTTACACCAAGACCCCATTCCCATACCTAGATCGATCTAGCGGGATCGGTCCATCTCCGAGGGGATTCTCGCTAAATTGATTTCAGCTTAATATCGGCTTAGAAGTCTGGAACGCCTACTGAAGCTGCAAAACGATAGTTAATTACCCCCTAGCAGCTTCAGTAGGCGTGCCAGACATCAGAGCCGTTTAAGCTGAAAGCAATTTAGCGAGATGGATCGATCCCGCTAGATCGATCTAGATATTGAAATAGGGTTCAAGAGTACATATTAGATATGCTTGTAAACAGAAGCCATCTTGCAAGCATGCATGCTATCTGTTCACAGTAACGAAGAAGTTTTTTGCATTGTTTTATCATCACTTATAATCTCCGAGACAGTTAATCTATATGCTTTTTTCCCGTATCCTTACAAATATTGAATTACTCGATAAGTATGCATGTATGAAGAAATTGTGAATAGGTTTATGAGCCTGATGCATCAGTCTTATTACAAGCGTGTTGATCTTCTTGCTGCCAGGGACACAAAAATTTTCAAGCACTTCATGTACACAATTTCATGTAATGTCTTTGTTTATCCTTCATAATACGTTGTGTAAAGCGGTAAAGGAAGCTTGTTAATTAATCTGCTTAATAAGTAAAGTTCAGTAACCCTTTGTCTTGGTTTGATATTAAAGAGTGCGAGTTCCCACAGACTGTACCTGAGCAGGCAACGAGTGAACATGAAATGATTGAAACTGGTTATTGTTGTCAGCGTTGGGTTTCCTCATAGAATTTACATATTTTGGCCACGAATCTGGAAAGCAGTATTAAGCGCTATCCAACCCATAGGTATACAACGGTGTCCGTATTTCGAGCCTGTTTGTAATTTTTATTAATGGCTAAATTTGCGCGGTCCCGGGCAATCTTCTGCATCCCAATGTATCAACACTTATAGTCCCATTCACTGCCCATAGGGTAATACTAGTACATCCATTTATATGGTGAATGTGCTTCAAACATCGTTTGCGTTCGAATATATTTCATGTTCCGTTTAGAAAACTTGCCCCAATGCAGATATTGTATCGCATCACGATCCATATTTCTCCTTTCCGAGCTAGGGCATCATCCACAATTACTTCACTAAATTTCATAATGAAGGCAAGTCGTGTGTTAGAGATGAATTTTATCTGTTTATTCGTTTTTTTGTATCAAATTTCTATCAGACTTTTGACAATATGAAAATGTCTACATATCTCTTGGACTACTACTTAATGCCAGCTCTACCTACTGTCCGAAATAGGCACATGTGGCGTCTGACAAGATTGAGAGATCACAAATTTCAGTTTGCGTTATTTTGCGCGTTATTTTGACAAAGTTTAAGGAATAAATAAATGAATGAAACGAAAAATAGGCAATAAGCAAAAAAATCTATATATATAACATGCGCAAAGGGATATAATATCGTCTGCTGTGCAAGTTCAAGGTTGTCTAGGGTTGATCAACCTGTCAAATTTCCCGCCAGAGGTCTGCACTTTCTTTTTCTTTCTTTCTTTTTTTTTTTTTTTGATGGGTAAAGCGAACAAGGAGGAAACCCCAAATCAATGTTTACCATCATCAAGGTGACAGACACACTAGCTCCACTTTCTTGGGTGGTGGTTCATAGATGTGACACATCTCATCACCAAGGTAAATAACGCTCTCCTCTGCCGTGAACTCGCGTTTTAAGATCACATTTCCAAGTGGTTCGACCGCCATAATTTCCTCTATATCTTCATCTTTGACTTGAGGATACTCATTCTGTACAGGTAGTTCCATCTAGAATAAATAAATAAATAAATAAATAAATAATTGAACTTATATGTAATTAAAAAAGATATTGATAATGTGGAAATCCGTAAACAGACTTCAATTCTGATTTTAAATTTCAGAATAATTTCAGACTGTATCACTGTAACTTTGAAATGCAGATAATTTAACTGTCATACTAAAGCTGCAAAAGTTTATGCTGTTATTTGGCACAAAAACTGCCATGTTAATTTCCAATATAAACACACACACACACACACACACACACACACACGTTACATACCTGTTTATAGACACTTGCCAGCATTTCCCTCTTCACTTCCACAGATTCCAGACTCATACTGTAAGATGGAGTATCCTGACCACCAGACATAATGCTTTGAACCCAGGCACTTCCTGGACAGCAACTGGGCATATCTGGCTGTCTTGAGTCCATGTTGGATGAAAGGGTGACATTATTAATTAGAGGAGAAGGCTGGCTGGCGACATCCTGAGCTGACAACAAAGACCGACAGGTGACATTCTCAGTTGACAGAGAAGACTGGGACATGACATTCTCAGCTGACAGGGAAGACTGACAAGTGCCATTCGCAGCTGACGTAGATGGCTGGCGAGTGACATTCTCAGTTGACAAAGAAGACTGACAGGTGATATTCTCAGCTGACAGAGGTGACTGGAGAGCGACATTTTCAGCTGACAGAGAAGACTGACAGGTGACATACTCAGTTGACGGAAAAGACTGATAGGTGACATTATCAGTTGACAAGGAAGACTGGCCATTGACATTCTCAGCTGACATGGAAGGCAAGTAGGGGGCATTTTCTGCAGAATGTGAATCATCAACAGCACCCTTTTCTTTCGACGGTGAAAGCGGAATACTCCTCTCTTCAGTTGTATTCTTTGGTTTTGGTGACGACTGAATGCTGTGATCACTTGTAGAATCTGGTGGGGCATAACTGCAGTGACCCTTTAACTGTGGTGCATTAGTGTTATTGTTCACCTGTGTGACAGGTAGACTGGAAGTGCCTGTATCAGTGTTTCCACAGGTAGGCTGCAGCACAATGGCTGTGTCACACTGCAGTTTGGTGGGATCAGCTCCAGGCAAGGGCTCCTCTGCCTGTGTAGTGTCCTGTAATGGTTCTAGCTGGATCACGCTGTGGATCCCGTCAGATTTATCTGTAGCTCTGTCACCTTTACTTCTGGCCCGTGATACAGATGGACGATCCTCAGGGGGAAGGACCCCTAAATCCACCAGCACGTGTCTTGTTCTGTAGAAGACACTGACTTCGTTCAGAATTTTACCCTTGTAGTACTTCCTGATATATCTGCCACGGTCTTCATCCCTGCGGACCACCGTGACCACCCTCCGTCCGCTACGGGTAGTTGTCAGACCATGAGAACCTGCAGAGAAAATAAATGAGGGAATGGATATCTTTCAAGATGTTAACATTTATCTTTTTTTTGCGTTTTAATGATTATTTTGAAGTTAACACATAAATGCTTGCAACATTCTAAATGGTGACTAAAATAAATAAAGTAATGGAAGAAAAATATTCAAAAATGATAATTTTCATTTTAAGAGAATTAATATACCAGTAAACAGGATTCTTCCTTTTCTTTTCTACGTCCTCTTTCCATGGCTCACTCCTCAAAGCCTCATTCTTCCTCTCTATATCTTAACCTCATTTTTGTCTCTTTTTTATTTTTCCCTCCCCAATTAAGTCTAATCTCNGGACAATGTATTTTAACGTATGCCTGACGTATATCAACACATCCTTAACATATTTAAGCACATGCCAAACACTGAACGTTATTTACTCTATTGCCATGTAGACATGCGCTCAAAGTTGTGCATTGAGTCCATTGCATTTGTCTGTGTATAAGCAATTTATTTCACACATTTATTTCACAATATGCTGTAGTGTGACAGTGCCTACTTTTTTACTCCGTTTGGGTTACGTTTAGGTTATGCTATTGACCTTTATACGATCGGTTCATTAGAGCACTTTTATATATACTTGATTTTTCGGTGAAAGCATCGTTTAGGAACGGAGTTGAACCAACTTCGGATTTGGCCCATTGTTAAATAGGCTCCTCATCATCTTGTCTATCTTGATAAAAGTTTTATTATGGTGATAATGTGATCATTTATACCGCAAATTGCAAAGTGTTAGGATGCGTTTTCCAAACGCTAATCAAGCGTTAGGCGTACGTTTAATACGCGAATCAATAGTTACAGATACGTGAATGACGTTACTCGTTCGCCACTATCATGTTACTAATGAGCTACGCAAAGTCAAATTTTATCAGTTATCGTATGAGAAACGTACCTTAACGCCATTTTAAGCATGGTCAAACATTTGTGTATGTATGTATGTATGTATGTATGTATGTAAGCTTGTACATGTTTACATGTAAGCTAGTATGCATGTAAGCAAAATACTGTAGTTCTCACATGAAGCGGCACATTTTTAACCTTTTCAGGCATGGCCTCTTCAAAATGGTGCCTTACCGTAGCCCTGCTGTTCTTGTTGACCGTGACTCGGGTGACCCAGGCGGAAGGGGACAAGCAGGTGAGAACGCTCGGTCAACTTAAAGGAGCACTCCGACGTGCCTACGCCATTATCGAGATGCAAAGCCGACCAAAGTAGGTATCACTCTGTTCTTAAGACTGTTTAGTTAGGGGCACTGAGCAAAAGTATAAACGCCCTAGGCCTACGATATACTTTGAAATTTCATCAGCATTATAGATTATGTATAAATATAATATTAAATCATTTGAGACTTGATAAACGTTATGCAATAATACTGGTCGAACATAATGTATGTATTTAGTCCCACAGTAATCTTATGTTAACGAAAGAAGTAGAAGTGTAGAATCTAATCCGATCAAATTTCAGACCGCCGATAAATGTCGTATCCCCTAGTCATTTAAAAATGTGATTTGATTCCCCATTGACTAGTTCCTTTAATTTTTCTCAAATTTTTTAACGTATGGAACACCAGTGTCTTATCATATATTCCAGCTTTTGAGTTACAATCTCGTGAAAATAATTTGCCAGTCTTTTAATAAAATTTTCTAAATCTTATATACCAGATTTGGAAAGCGGAAAATTTCTTCGTATCCTATCGCTGACGCTGATGACTCGCTTTGCTTAGGCGTGGACAAGAAGGCAATAGCACGCGGCGCTTTGGGAGAGGCTAATTTGGAAGAAGATATGTGAACACACACTGTTTTGAAGGACAATATCCAACGGCTAACGGACTTTCCCACCTAAACGGACCGTGTCCAGTGTCTGCTTCATCTGTGGCTTGCCTTGCGAACTCTCAAGTTGACATTTAGAGTTACACCAATACCCCAATCCCATACCTAGATCGATCTAGCGGGATCGGTCCATCTCCGAGGGGATTCTCGCTAAATTGATTTCAGCTTAATATCGGCTTAGAAGTCTGGAACGCCTACTGAAGCTGCAAAACGATAGTTAATTACCCCCTAGCAGCTTCAGTAGGCGTGCCAGACATCAGAGCCGTTTAAGCTGAAAGCAATTTAGCGAGATGGATCGATCCCGCTAGATCGATCTAGATATTGAAATAGGGTTCAAGAGTACACATTAGATATGCTTGTAAACAGAAGCCATCTTGCAAGCATGCATGCTATCTGTTCACAGTAACGAAAATTTTTTTGCATTGTTTTATCATCACTTATAATCTCCGAGACAGTTAATATATGCTTTTTTCCCTTATCCTTGCAAATATTGAATGACTCGATAAGTATGCATGTATGAAGAAATTTGTGAATAGGTTTATGAGCCTGATGCATCAGTCTTATTACAAGCGTGTTGATCTTCTTGCTGCCAGGGACACAAAAATTTTCAAGCACTTCATGTACACAATTTCATGTAATGTCTTTGTTTATCCTTCATAATACGTTGTGTAAAGCGGTAAAGGAAGCTTGTTAATTAATCTGCTTAATAAGTAAAGTTCAGTAACCCTGTGTCTTGGTTTGATATTAAAGAGTGCTAGTTCCCACAGACTGTAACTGAACAGGCAACGAGTGAACATGAAATGATTGAAACTGGTTATTGTTGTCAGCGTTGGGTTTCCTCATAGAATTTACATATTTTGGCCACGAATCTGGAAAGCAGTATTAAGCGCTATCCAACCCATAGGTATACAACGGTGTCCGTATTTCGAGCCTGTTTGTAATTTTTATTAATGGCTAAATTTGCGCGGTCCCGGGCAATCTTCTGCATCCCAATGTATCAACACTTATAGTCCCATTCACTGCCCATAGGGTAATACTAGTACATCCATTTATATGGTGAATGTGCTTCAAACATCGTTTGCGTTCGAATATATTTCATGTTCCGTTTAGAAAACTTGCCCCAATGCAGATATTGTATCGCATCACGATCCATATTTCTCCTTTCCGAGCTAGGGCATCATCCACAATTACTTCACTAAATTTCATAACGAAGGCAAGTCGTGTGTTAGAGATGAATTTTATCTGTTTATTCGTTTTTTTGTATCAAATTTCTATCAGACTTTTGACAATATGAAAATGTCTACATATCTCTTGGACTACTACTTAATGCCAGCTCTACCTACTGTCCGAAATAGGCACATGTGGCGTCTGCCAAGATTGAGAGATCACAAATTTCAGTTTGCGTTATTTTGCGCGTTATTTTGACAAAGTTTAAGGAATACATAAATGAATGAAACGAAAAATAGGCAATAAGCAAAAAAATCTATATATATAACATGCGCAAAGGGATATAATATCGTCTGCTGTGCAAGTTCAAGGTTGTCTAGGGTTGATCAACCTGTCAAATTTCCCGCCAGAGGTCTGCACTTTCTTTTTCTTTCTTTTTTTATGGGAAAAGCGAACAAGGGGGTAAAAGCCCAAATCAATGTTAATTATCATCAAGGTGACAGACACACTAGCTCCACTTTCTTGGGTGGTGGTTCATAGATGTGACACATCTCATCACCAAGGTAAATAACGCTCTCCTCTGCCGTGAACTCGCGTTTTAAGATCACATTTCCAAGTGGTTCGACCGCCAGAATTTCCTCTATATCTTCATCTTTGACTTGAGGATACTCATTCTGTACAGGTAATTCCATCTAAAATGAATAAATAGATAAATATTTAATTAAACTTATATATAATTAAATAAGATACTGACAATATGGAAATCCGTAAACAGACTTCAATTCTGATTTTAAATTTCAAAATAATTTCAGACTGTATCACTGCAACTTTTAAATGCAGATAATTTATGTCATACTAAAGCTGCAAAAGTTTATGATGTTATTTGGCACAAAAACTGCTAAACATTTATCACATGTTAATTCCCAATATAAACACACACACATTACATACCTGTTTATAGACACCTGCCAGCATTTCCCTCTTCACTTCCACAGATTCCAGACTCATACTGTAAGATGGAGTATCCTGACCACCAGACATAATGCTTTGAACCCAGGCACTTCCTTGACAACAACTGGGCAGATCTGGCTGTCTTGAGTCCAAGATGGATGAAAGAGTGATATTCTTAATTGTAGGAGAAGGCTGGCTGGTGTCATTCTCAGTTGTCACCAAAGACCGACAGGTGACATTCTCAGCTGACAGAGGTGACTGACAGGTGACATTCTCAGTTGACAGACAAGGCTGGCGAGTGACATTCTCAGTTGATGAGGAAGACTGACAGGTGACATTCTCAGTTGAAGGAGAAGACTGGGACATGACATTCTCAGCTGACAGAGAAGACTGACAGGTGATATTCTCAGCTGACAGAGGTGACTGGAGAGTGACATTCTCAGATGACGGAAAAGACTGACAGGTGACATTATCAGTTGACATGGAAGGCAAGTAGGTGACATTTTCGGCAGAATGTGAATCATCAACAGCACCCTTTTCTTTTGACGGTGAAAGAGGAATACTCCCCTCTTCACTTGTATTTTTTGGTTTTGGCGACGACTGAATGCTGTGATCACTTGTAGAATCTGGTGGGGAATAACTGCAGTGACCCTGTATCTCTGGTGCATTAGTGTTATTGTTCACCTGTGTGACAGGTAGACTGGAAGTGCCTGTATCAGTGTTCCCACAGGTAGGCTGCAGCACAGTGGCTGTGTCACATTGCAGTTTGGTGGCATCAGATGTAGGCAAGGGCTCCTCTGCCTGTGTAGTGTCCCGTGATGGTTCTAGCTGGATCACCCTGTGGATCCCGTCAGATTTATCTGTAGCCCTGTCACCTTTACTTCTGGACCGTGATACAGATGGACGATCCTCAGGGGGAACGACCCCTAAATCCACCAGCACGTGTCTTGTTCTGTAGAAGACACTGACTTCGTTCAGAATTTTACCCTTGTAGTACTTCCTGATATATCTGCCACGGTCTTCATCCCTGCGGACCACCGTAACCACCCTCCGTCCGCTACGGGTAGTTGTCAGACCATGAGAACCTGCAGAGAAAATAAATGAGGGAATGGATATCTTTCAAGATGTTAACATTTATCTTTTTTTTGCGTTTTAATGATTATTTTGAAGTTAACACATAAATGCTTGCAACATTCTAAATGGTGACTAAAATAAATAAAGTAATGGAAGAAAAATATTCAAAAATGATAATTTTCATTTTAAGAGAATTAATATACCAGTAAACAGGATTCTTCCTTTTCTTTTCTACGTCCTCTTTCCATGGCTCACTCCTCAAAGCCTCATTCTTCCTCTCTATATCTTAACCTCATTTTTGTCTCTTTTTTATTTTTCCCTCCCCAATTAAGTCTAATTTCAAACTAGTCAAGAGGGTGGGACAGTGAAAAGCTGTCGTTTTGGTAGGAAAAAGTGCAATTTCTCAGGGTGACTCAAATAAGAGAGAGGGGTTAAAAAGATCCAATTTTTCAGAAAAACATTCCCCTTTCAGGTCAACCAACCCTTCGGTTTGAAAAAAAAAAAAAAAAACTCACCTCCATTGGCCCTATAACAGTCCTGTTTGGTGGCTTGTTTACAAACAGTGTCTTGATAGCAATTCTCTTCAGTCTGGAGATAGTCATGAGGTACCTTTCTCCTCCTCAGAGTATTTCTCCACCATTGCAGTACAATGCGGTCAAAGATGGCTTCCTGGCAAACTAGTGTTATCTGGCCGATCTTAGTCAATCTATCCTGTGAAAGACTCTCCCCCTGCAAAATAGGACCTTTCACTAAAGGCAAAGATCTTCACAAAACAATGGTTTCTCCTAGTATGATCAAAATATCACATACAACTACCAAAAAAAGGAACTTAATTAAGTAACTAAGATGCTAATAACAGAGATTTTGAAGTGGGTAAATTATTATCTTTAACACAAAAAAATAAAATGTACCAAAAGATAATCACAACAAGGAAAGGACTAAAACATTTAACCTGCATACCCATAGCCAGCAATTTCAAATGGGGGGGGGGGGTCTTTTTCTAAAAAAAAAGGGGGACCTTTTACCGAGACACCTTTTTTACCTAGATTGATTTTTACAGGGCTGACCCGCAGTTACCTTTTTAGCAGAATATCTGGGAAGTGAGAATAGAAACTCTGACAATGATACACCATCACTGCTATCACTACTGTGGTAGAAGAACTCACTGTAACAGAAAAGAAAAAGTGGGGCAACTTTTAACTATTTTTGAAACTGGCATTTGAAATAAAATGACAAACATTACAGCATAGGCCTACATTCACATGTTGAAATTCCAATGTATTACTCAAAATAAATAATGATAAAATATTAAAATTAAAAAGTTAACCAATTATATTTGAAACATGTAGGCCTACATGTACATGTAGGCTCTTGATTAATGAGATCTGCAGGTCTGCTGAGGGAAGACCAACTACGGGAGAGAGCAACTGAACACTGTATCTTTATACTTACAAAGTATGTGATGGGGGAATTTGGGTAGTCCAGATAAATTCCCCATCAACGTACAACGAATAGAAACAAGTTGGTGCAGAGTAGTCGGTTGTCACGATAACTCGGTATGGAGTCACTGGCCAGGCCTGGTAAATGAGAAGTAAAGAAGAAACATAAACAGGGCCGCAGCCTGAGCAAAATGCAAGGGGGGGCAGTAAGCGGACACGAGGGGGCGAAGCTACTGAGGGGGGTGGGTGTGGTGTGTAAAATTCCAAATTCCAGGGGGGGGGGGGGGGGCAGCTGCCCCCCTGAGGCTACGGCCCTGATAAAATATCGATAATATAAGCTTATGTTATCATGTACATTCATGATTAAGAATAACAAATGTCAACATTTAGGCTATAACTCGGCGGTGCTGGAAGCACGTTCCCAAACCTGTGTTTCTTCCTGGCCGTCCACAATTTCCGTTCTCTGAACCAGGTAACTGTCCGGACCTTGAAGGTTGCATTCCACGTAAGTCTTGCCATCTTTATGATACTCCCGCAGGATGGTTTCTCCTACTAATATTTGAAGAGAATACCACGGTCCTCGCGGCATGGTGCAACACACGTGTGTGGTTCATTTCAAGATTCGCGCTCTTCACGCATATCAATGCGCAGGTCGTGATTTGTGCTTGTACTAAATAGTCCGACAATATTTTGCAAAATCCGTGCAACTTTGTAAATATTCAATTTTTTTTTATTTACAATCGATTATGTTTGAGCCTGGGAAGTAAAATAAAAATGCTTAGCTCTATCAATAATCAAAAAGAAGTTTTTTATAAAATATCGAAACCAATACCATTGTTTCTAGGACTAGCTCTGTAACCTGGACTCCTACACAAATGCATACGCTTTATTAATTAGTCCGAATTTTTTATTTTATTCTCTACTGATGGTTGTTCTGATTAAATTATTGGCAGTCTGCTTATGTTTAAAACATAAAAGATGCTAAACATACCAATTTGTGATGCAATTGTTGCTAAAAAAATCAAGTCAGTACGCAAGCTCGGATTAATCTCAAGCATCGTCTGATCGTCTGCCATTTTCAATTTGGCGTTTTACTTGAAGTTCTACAAAACTCTCGTAAGTTCCATTCTGAAATGCTTTAAGTCATTTATAAGGGTTTTTAATAGTTGCAGTATAATGGGCTACGTTGAATAGCGTTCGAACAACCTATATTTACGTTAATTTGAGCTCAGGTTGACCTATGTGCCGTACATTGATTTCCCTTTCAAGTTTCACAACCACTATTTACAAATGGCACAATCATTATCGTGATCGTTGTTTTCTAACAGCATAAACACGAACCAAACTATTGTTACGAGAGACAAATATGATGTGTTAGTTCACCAACTTGCATCGGAGAGTGTTTGAAAAGTCTTATCTTCAATATACTTAATAAACTCTCTGGACATGTCAGTGATNGGTAAATATTCAATTTTTTTTATTTACAATCGATTATGTTTGAGCCTGGGAAGTAAAATAAAAATGCTTAGCTCTATCAATAATCAAAAAGAATTTTTTTATAAAATATCGAAACCAATACCATTCGTTCTAGGACTAGCTCTGTAACCTGGTCTGGACTCCTACACAAATGCATACGCTTTATTAATTAGTCCGAATTTTTTATTTTATTCTCTACTGATGGTTGTTCTGATTAAATTATTGGCAGTCTGCTTATGTTTAAAACATAAAAGATGCTAAACATACCAATTTGTGATGCAGTTGTTGCTAAAAAAATCAAGTCAGTACGCAAGCTCGGATTAATCTCACGCATCGTCTGATCGTCTGCCATTTTCAATTTGGCGTTTTACTTGAAGTTCTACAAAACTCTCGTAAGTTCCATTCTGAAATGCTTTAAGTCATTTATAAGGGTTTTTAATAGTTGCAGTATAATGGGCTACGTTGAATAGCGTTCGAACAACCTATATTTACGTTAATTTGAGCTCAAGTTGACCTATGTGCCGTACATTGATTTCCCTTTCACAACCACTATTTACATTTACAAATGGCACAATCATTATCACGATCGTTGTATTCTAACAGCATAAACACGAACCAAACTATTGTTACGAGAGACAAATATGATGTGTTAGTTCACCAACTTGCATCGTAGAGTTTTTTGAAAAGACACATCTGCTATATACTTCATAATTTAATGCAGTATGCCCCCTCCGAGACAAGATCCATAATGTTCGCAACAGACTTTTGTGTATTTGCTTTCATGCTTCCTTGATACATGGATAAATGTATGCTCTTTAAATTCCTGACATTCTTTTCTTTAGATTTGATCAGATGTAGGGATTCAATCATAAACCGTCATCATGTCACGTTTGAATCCGGGAGATGACCAGCCAGGTCGTTTTCCATCTCATCAGAGTATTCCAGCGCGTGGACGACGCAGAAGTGTGATGTTGAATCAGGCTACAGAAACAATGAAGGAGAAACAGGTTAGACCTGTGCATGATGTTTTTGTTTTGTAAAGTCTAACTTTCAGTTATAAAAAAGAACAGTCACATTAAATGTCAGGCCTTTATTGTGTTTTAATAAAATAAAGCATAAACAATTGAGTAAATGGTTTCTAATCAAATACAAAGTTTCTGCAGGCTGATAACTTCATGTTTCAATATTACCAAGGCACGGGCAAAAGAAACTCGTGAGAGACGCCGTTTGAGCATTACAGCTCAGCACAAGCACATCTTTGATATGGTGGCTCAGTACTTGCAGCTAGAACCAGGGGCAGTGGAAGAATTTGTTATTGACACTAAGGAGGTATTTGAATAGTAATTGAATACTGGTGTTTTTGTCTGCTAAATATGTACCTTAAGTTGTGCATCTATGTGCAGATTATAGTAAAAACAATTTCAAATGTGATTTGTATTTCACTTGTACACTTGTTCACTTGTATTTGGTCTCAATGAAGTACCCATCCTATTTAAAAAATGAATTAAGTAGCGAAAACTGATCAAATATTTTTAAAACATTTTGTTGAGGTCAGGTGAATTTCAGTGTCTTCAAGNTTATGTTAATTTAATGCAGTATGTCCCCCTCCAAGACAAGATCCATTAATGTTCGCAACAGACTTTTGTGTATTTGCTTCATGGTTCCTTGGCACATGGATAAATGTATGCTCTTTAAATTCCTGACATTCTTTTCTTTAGATTTGATCAGATGTAGGGATTCAATCATAAACCGTCATCATGTCACGTTTGAATCCGGGAGATGACCAGCCAGGTCGTTTTCCATCTCATCAGAGTATTCCAGCACGCGGACGACGCAGAAGTGTGATGTTGAATCAGGCTACAGAAACAATGAAGGAGAAACAGGTTAGACCTGTGCATGATGTTTTTGTTTTGTAAAGTCTAACTTTCAGTTATAAAAAAGAACAGTCACAATAAATGTCAGGCCTTTATTGTGTTTTAATAAAATAAAGCATAAACAATTGAGTAAATGGTTTCTAATCAAATACAAAGTTTCTGCAGGCTGATAACTTCATGTTTCAATATTACCAAGGCACGGGCAAAAGAAACTCGTGAGAGACGCCGTTTGAGCATTACAGCTCAGCACAAGCACATCTTTGATATGGTGGCTCAGTACTTGCAGCTAGAACCAGGGGCAGTGGAAGAATTTGTTATTGACACTAAGGAGGTATTTGAATAGTAATTGAATACTGGTGTTTTTGTCTGCTAAATATGTACCTTAAGTTGTGCATGTATGTGCAGATTATAGTAAAAACAATTTCAAATGTGATTTGTATTTCACTTGTACACTTGTTCACTTGTATTTGGTCTCAATGAAGTACCCATCCTATTTAAAAAATAAATTAAGTAGCGAAAACTGATCAAATATTTTTAAAACATTTTGTTGAGATCAGGTGAATTTCAGTGTCTTCAAGACTTGGTAAAGAAAAAAAAAAACAGTGTAGCTGCTAATGTGTTCAGAATGTGACCAGACCATTTTGTGAACCCCCTTTATTTTGAAAACATTTGTAAAATGCAGCAGGGTTGGTTAAAGAATTATTCAGAAAACGAGAAAAAAATTAATATTTTAGTAATATTCATTGACACTTGTTTTTATATTTCTGCAGCAAATAGATCTGATGAATGCATTCATAGACAAGGATGGGCCCAGGACATTAAAGTTTTACTATCAAGAAGGGCCATGCCCTGGTATTGAAGGTAAAATCTATAGATGAATGAAACTGTGTAAACATTAAAACTAAAAGTATGTATTAATGATCGAACTGAAATTGGTTTTCTGAGTCATACATGTTATATGAACAACAAGTACTACACATACTAAATATATGCTAGCTAACTGAGTATTTACCTGATATCAAATACATTACACACCCTTGTGTATTTATATTAACTATAGAACAGGAATTCAATTTTTGTATCATTTAGAGCTCAGTATGTTATTTGTATAATATGTACATTTTATGTTTGTAAATTGATATTTGGATTCAATTTTGGTATTTCAGAATGTGGGCGCACATTTTCTGGTGTCAGTAAAGGAAGTCCTGTACAACTTTTGTTTGCCACTGATTGTAAGAAGGAGCCTCTCACAGGAACTTGTGTGTACTTCATCAAAAATAAAGCTGAGACACTCACAACTAGAAATATAGCAGAGGTATATTTGATGAAGCATATGAGTTATCAGTCGTTTTACTGCACAGTAAAATAAATAGGTCTGGTGAGATTTTTTCAGACTATTGGTGGATTTCCAATTATTATGAAGCCAAAAATGTCATTGACCTAGGTGCCCCCCCCCCCCTGCATCCTACAACACATTTTTTACTGTAATTAAGTCATTCCAGTCAATAAATAATATATCAGTTGTCTAAGACACAAGATAAATTCAGGCAGGAAGTAGAAGGTCATCACACAGAAATAGATGTATTGTTCTTTCCCAGGAGATGCAAGGAGGTGTGTTCACTGTGAAGGACAAAGCTGTGTTGCCAGCTTTGAAGGATCTTCTCACCAAGGTGTATTGCCCAGCAATGGCAGGACTGGGGGACTGGGGAGCTCTGTCGAGAGCTACTGATGGTGGTGCTACTAGGCAGACATTTCTAGACAATTTAGATAGATTTATACATACTATGGAAGGTATGTGTTACTGTGTGCTTTTTTCCCTAAGCACCCATTATTGTTCATTTCATTTCACATCTATTCATTTTATGTAATTTTATGGTTTGACCTATTTCACTATCACAGTAAAGGAGAGCTACCCTTTTTATTTGTTTAGACAGATTTTGTCAAAAAATTTATATGATAATAATAATAATAATAATAATAATGATAATAATGCTGCCTTAATGTAAATATATTATCTATAAAGTTAAGGATGGTCAGGCATTTTTTTAATAGCTGTTTGCAATTTGGTTTCATGTAATCCTCTATTGTGTTATGATGTCAGGAGCCAACCAGAGTATCTGTGGAGCAGTGCGTCTGAAGGCCAGTCAGGAGGTGGACCTGTCCAATATCTCCTCTGCTGATGACTGCATGACTGCTGCAGGCAATCCAGAGACTGTCTCAGTGCTTGAAGGGTTGGTTTCTGGCTGGGGAAAACAGATTGAACAGGTACAGTACATCACAGCTGAGCAAAGTATGTGGCTGCATGCGTGTAGATTATTACAGATCAGTTCATTTAAAATTAAGTACAGTCTAAGGTGCATGGCTGTGTGTGATTCCATTACCAGTAAATCTACACATGAATGGTTTTTCAGTTATGCTGCAGTGGTTGAGTCTGATAATTGACCAAAACAATGTGTCAGGCTTGTTCAGGGCAGTTAAAATATTGATTTTTAAAATACCAAACTTACACATGGTGTTAGTGCCATTCTAGTATCCATAAATTGCAGGTATTGGCAGAAAGTGACCAGATGCGCAAAGAAGCGGATGACACGGGTCCACTGGCAGAGTTAGAACACTGGAGGCAGCTGACTGCCAGGTTTAACAGCATCCTGGAGCAGATCAAAGGCCATGAGTGTAAAATGGCAATTCACATCCTCAACTCTGCCAAATCTAAGGTCCTCAAGGTATGTGTTGCTCAAGTAATTTCATAGACAGCATTTATCTTTTAATTCTGAAGACATTCCATCTCATTTCATTCACAGTTAATACTGGAATGTGATGGTATTTCTTGATGATGGCTAAAATAATGAAGTTGATTTCCCTTTGCTAGGAATGGAGAAGGTTAGACAGCAGAATCACAGATGCAGCTAATGAAGCAAAGGATAACGTGAAGTACATGTACTCACTGCAAAAGTTCTGTGCACCACTGTATGCATGTGATCCAGTAAGTCTCTTTTTGCAATTAGTTACAGGCATGGTTTTAATTTTTCAAAAATTTTCAAGCTTATTCAGAACATTTAATGCCACTATTTCACCCCCATACTTACAAGACAGTTTATCAAATTTCTGTCATAAGCTCATTTAGAACTTCGACAAAGTGCAAGGTTAAATATTTGTAAAGATTTGGACAACACTTCAGAAGGTTATCTACTTATATTATTTATATTAATTGAACAATTCTGCATGATATATGAGAGAGGTTATAACCAACAGGCCAAAGGTTATACAAACAGATTTTATCTGCTGTGCAGTTTTCAGTGTTGATGTATTTGTTTATGTTCATATCAGGTGAGTATGGCAGAAGGCATAGCAAGTCTGATCCATGCCATTAGGATGATCCATGGTATTTCTAGATACTACAACACCTCAGAGAGAATGACCTCACTTTTCATTAAAGTAGGTGGTATCAACACACTTTATCGATATTTAACAATGAAAAACCGACAATTAATGTACTGAAATAATGAGCTGTCTATGATGTCTGGAAATGATTATGTCACTATTTATCAGGATAAGTAGCAATTTCTCTATTTCACAAATATTTTAAGTTAAACAAATATTTTTTGTTTTGGGCACACCAGATTACCCTGGATTGCCATTGTATAAATAGTAGGCAAAATCATCAGCTAAATATCCATAGTTGCTGAACTGTCAGCCTGGTTGCACAAGCAAGGTAACCTTAAAGTGGAATGAAATTAGTTTTAAAGACAAACAGCTGAATAAATGCTACCATAACTGTTATAGGTAACCAACCAAATGGTCACGGCATGCAAGAAGTACATCACAGATAAAGGCATGTGTAAGATCTGGGAGCAGGACTATGACTCTTTGATGGAGAAGATGAAGGAATGCATCAACCTGTACACAGAATACCAGAAGGCCTTCCAGAGGACCAAGAAACAGATTGAAGAGACTCCTGGAGAAAAACCATTTGAGTTCTCCGAGATGTACATTTTTGGAAAGTTTGATGCCTTCTGCAAAAGGCTCGAAAATGTATGTTGTGAAAATATTATTTGAAATGGAGATGATTTAAGTAAATTATTTTTTTTTCATTCTGCTGATATGTTTTGATATCCTGAGATTGGCTTGTGCTTGGCACTAGTTGAACCCATTTATTGGTATCTCTGCCTCTGTGTTCATTGATTTTTTACAGTAACTGTTATTTTATATTTTCTGAATTTTTTAAAATGACAAAGATTTTTACATTTTAATATTGTTTATTGTTTCAGATCATGGGCATGATGTCAACCCTGCAGTCACTGAGCAGCTTGGTCACTTCTAAAATAGAAGGTCTGGAGCCCATGGCCAACAGATACCTCATCATCTACAACAACATGAAGAAGAAGCCGTATGACATCTTGGACCACAGGAAGATGGACTTCTCCACAGATTACAAGGAGTTCAAACGGCAGATTGGGGATCTGGAGGTAAACTAGACTGCAATAAAGCTGGCGTTATTACTACTGCCCTTATCTTCAGCTTTCGTAGACATTTTAGGTGGATTACAATGTTTTTAAAATCTTGTTTACCCAGATCACGTATCATATTGGTTAAGGATGAAGGGTTTTCTTGTGTTTGTATCTATACAACTGAAGTAAAGCTAAAAAGATTATGCTTATGGTATGTTTCTTGATTCTTACATCAACTGTCTTTTATTTTTAATTGGCATAAAGATCTTTCTAGGCATTTGCTCTGTGATAAACTATCTTAGTATATAGATTCTTGTTAACCATGATCTGGTTGCTCTCCTAAATACCAGGAACAGTTACAAGACTTTCTAGACGATAGCTTTGAAAGAAGCCCCACTTGCCATCAAGCCTTGAAACTTCTTGTTAGGTAGCTTTTTCTGTTCTGCGTACTTTACTTATCTTTTTCTTTGCAGTTATTTGTTCATGGCGTCAGTTTTGTTCGGTTGGGATAATGTGACATTTTTCGTTTTGTACAACATGCTTTTCTTTTATTACCAAATTTGATTTACAAGAATTATTTCTATTTTTAATCTTTTGCAACTATTTTTATCACTATATTTAGATAATATGGTAGTTTCTCTAACACATGACTCATTAATAAATAATTTTTGCAACTTTCAAAAAAATGTTTCCATTTTTATCATGAGTGCTTTGCTCAGATTGTCTAACTTCATATAATAAACTAAATTTTATATTATTTTTTTACTGATGCCTCCTCAATGTTTGTACAATATTTCTAGGATTAAATTGTTTAAATTGACTTTCCTGTATAATTATTTTTGAGGTAGATCATGTTTTGCAATTTTTAAACATTTGTTTGCAATGTTGATTATTGTCAAAAATACATGTCAGTCTGCTTCTCTTATGTATATCATCTGTAAGTAATTAAATTCTTACATTCTGCAAAGTCTACATCAATAGCAGGTACAGTTCTAGCTGTATCATGTGATATCACTATGATGGCTGCATTGGAATCAGCACTTATTTTTGACTGTTCATATTGTGAAAAAAAGCATTTCACTTCTATTGATTACATATCTGCTTGGTTTGCAATTCTGGAACCTTTCCTGCATCAGTTGTAAATCCATCTTTACTGCACAGTGCTAAGACATCAGGACTCCTCACCGCAGACCAACAATACCTGCTTTCCTTTCAGCTCTTACCCATATTTCTTGTCTTGCTTCCATTCATCAAAAATCAGATCATTATGCATTACATCAAGACTTATGGGGCTTTTTGCCCAAAATTGTTTGTGGTCACAAGATGCGCTAGTGAGGGATCCACACATTAGGTTTTCTTGTCATGGATCATGTCTTTACTCTTTCTAACTTTTTTTTATGCTTTGTTGATTGTACTTACCTGTCTGCCCTGGTTGTCACAGCGTGGCCTGCTTTAAGTGTGTGGTGTAACTTTGCCTCTTCAGTTCTCACTGGTGTCCCATTGGCAGTGGCAAAGCTCCATGTTACTGGGCCAAGTGGGAATGACAATGCCTTCTCCATACACACGTCATTTCTGATCGCATGTTGGACAAGTTGGCCGAAAATGTTTCTTTTTGCGACAAGTTCTTCTGTCTTATTTAAAGAGCTGGCGACATTTGTTTTCATTGCCACTGATGCAAATGTCTTCAACTGTAGTCTTTTATTTATTTATTTATTTTTAATTTATTTATTAGCACCTCAGGGGTGAAAGACGTAAAAAAGCACGTACATAGAATCACAGGCAGTTTTATATTCAAACCTGAAAAGTTGGCACCCTGTGACATTGCTTTGTGAAACACCCCTTTAGCAGAATTCACATGTTTTGACAATATGGACAATAAGGTCCACATTGCAAAAAATGGTAATGTTAAATGTCAATCCCTAGATGTCCAAAGAGTGAGCCTTTTTGATGGTGTTTTGACCTAAAACCAAGTTGGTTGTGATTTTAACAAGGCTTTTCCCATTGTGGAATGATGATATCACTAAACCAATCTTGGCAAAACCAAATTATATCATAGACTTTCTTGGCAGCTGCTAGATGGAATGTGACAATTGTGTAGGCTTGTCCAACAGCTGCAGTGGCCTCCTGAGATATCTTCAAAACATGCATAACGGTTGCATTGTCGGTGATTGGGGCAATTACTGGTGGCATGTATTCCACAGTCATTTAACTTTCATTGCTTCTCTCCCATGTAAATGAGACCCAACATGCATGTGGAAGTCTGATATTTGTATAAGAACTGTTTTAATCCGTCTGGGCTTGACATTTTTCAATGTCTGTCCATGTCATTTTCTCTTCTTTCACTCTTTTCCAGTGAATTCATTGGGGCAGTTTGGAACAATTTCGTCAAGAATGGCTTCGTCTTCCCAATCATTGATAAATGTATCAAGTTTTTTGAGCAATTTATACCATTGAGTTCTGAGGCACCAATGGATAAAAGTCACGCTTTGGTAATACACTCATAGGCTGAAGAAGCGTCAGTGCCTTTGCCACAGTAGTGATTGAGCTGACTCAGTTGTCTGCTGGAGAAAAAAGTAACTGAAAGCTATCTCTCTTGTTCTAGATTTGGCATTGATGCCTCAGAATCTGATAACAGTAAAGAAGGCATTGCACCTGACATTAATGGGCAATCCATGACTAAGGATGGTGCAAAATCTGCATCATCAAATACTTGGTCATTGTGTAGGGGAAGATCCCTGTCTTAGCAAACCCTGCCCCAATATGCTGTGTTGTTGTCACTTTACTCCAGGCTTCTACAATACTGGGGGTATCACACAGGGTTGTGGTCTTGCCTGGATTAGAGCCTAACCAATTCCTTTGGATCCCAAATATTCTTCTTCATGGGCACAAGTAGGGAAAGGCCTTAATTACCCAATCCTTCAATGCAAGAGGATCAAACATTGGGGATTTCTATCCTGCTTGTGTGTCCCTGGCTGTTTCACCTACATTTACCTGTTTGTGCAACAACCTTGCCTGGTTTCTGCACCATTGTTATCCCAGTTTCATCAATATATATTTATCTTCTTACTTATAATCCAAAAGTTGTTTTCATTACTTCTCCAAGTTTCTGGAAGAACATGGCAACATTGGTTTAGTTGGAAGCACTTCCTTGTCTGATGCTTGCTGCTTCTGGGGACCTAATGGAAATGCTCCTGTCTCTTAAGGTAGCCAGAAAACCATTCAGCTCCTGTGCTTCCATTTTCATGCCATGTCTGAGGCATTGAGATGCCAGTCTTCTCTGCACACTGGTAAGCCAAAGTATGAACATCCTTTTGGCACCTCGCAGACCTGCTGAGTCATGAGAAACACTATGCTCTATTTATTTATTTATTATTTTATTTATTTATTTATTTATTTTTTTATTTTTATTTTGTTTTTGGTTAAAAGAGTGAAGAAACTTGGAATTCCTAGCTTGAATGTAGGAGAGAAGTGTAAGATCATCTTTCTCCAGTTTGGGCAAGAAGTAGAGAACATAAGAAAGGCAAGTTTGATCTTCATACGTTAATATAAATTTGAATTGATACATCTAAAATATTTGAACTGTTAGGTAAATATCAATAGAATTTTTTTTTTTTTTTTTTGATAATATTTTGATAAAAATTAAGTCTGTTAATTTTCTTTAGATGAAAGAGATGTATTGTTGTTAGCTTCAGTTCTTCTACCTTTTATATAAGTGAGCTTCATTTTTTTTATTATTATTATTTAAGTATACATTTAAGTATTAACTTATCTCAATATGGTACCTATGTAATTGTTTGGCCATAGCCTTTGTAAAGTTGTGCTAGAACTAATAAAGATGATTATTATTATTATTATTATTATTATTATTATTATTATATCTCTGTTACATTTGCCATGTAGATGTACATGCAGCACCGTGATGATCCTCCAGTGCCCAGAGACATGCCCCCAGTGGCAGGGAAGATAGCATGGGCACGCCAGTTAACCAGAAGGATCACAGAGCCCATGGAGATATTTAAGGTGCAGTCAGTTGCCCGTTGGTTTACGTGTTATTTATATGAAGACCAATGACTTCCTCTTTGCGTGTATTGTGAAAAAAGGGGACAATGAGAAATGTGTGAAAAGAAAATCATGCCCTTCACTACACTCTTATTTAAGGAAGGGGTCTGTAAATTATTTTTACCTTAATCAAGTTGTAAGAAATAATCTTGAAGCTCTTTCCAGGAAACACCAGAAGTGTTTAAAATAGAAGAAGGCAAGAGAATTATAAGAAATTACAACCGTGTGGCCAGAGTGCTGATGGAGTTTGAGATGTTGTATCATGATGCTTGGATCCAATCTGTGGCAGTGGCTAAAGAAGGTTGGTCTGATGTTACAAGTTATATGGGATTAATATTAGCCAAAAATATTTCTTCTGGTCAAATGTATCTTTTTTTTTCAATGATTTATGTTTGCAGTGTTTTTAGCCACCTTAACTATTCAACTAACTTTATTATTCAACTACATTTGTACTCTTGATTTCATGTTGTAGAAAAATAGCAAATAAACAGCTTCATAATTTTATGGTCAGTTTTACAAGATGGGCTGTTATTGACAGAATAATAAGATAGACTTGCCCTTCAAGAAATCGACGGAAAATAGCTCTTTTTCAGTTTTGAATGGACCCTGTAGAAAACATATAACAGCTAAAGCTCTCAATTTAAGCACATATGTGTGATATCATGTGAAGAATAAGTTCTGTAAATTTCAATCCAAGCAGTTGAGTACATTTTGAGACAGAACGCTTTAAATGTGCAGCAAACCGTAACGCTTATCCCTTCAAGATCTCGACGAAAACCGGAAGTGCGTCATGACGTCACTCGCTTCTACTTGGAAAGCTGCTGGGTGATTTTCCGATGAGAAATATTTCGTGGCTTATGCAAATGTTCGGAAAATGACCATGCAGATAAAAGAAAATTCACTAATCAAAATTGAAACTGCGTAATTACATAGAAAAACATTGTGCATTCCTGACCTCGACTTGTCAGTGTAAACAAAGTGTACTGAACGCATCGCAAGCAAGCACGTGAATGCCGCGTTTGATACTTTGTATCAGACGCTTCGTTTTACTTGACAACACAGTGTTTACGATGGGCATGACAGGAAAAACAGTGCAAAAAACACGCACTTCCGGTTTTCGTCGATTTCTTGAAGGCGTCGATTTCTTGAAGGGCGAGTCTAAATAGATTATGATTTGAAGATAAAAAAATACAGAAACTGCATATTGGTTAGAAAGACTTAGGGCCTTATCTATGGTACTATGGGAATGTTATTTGCAGGTTTGAGAGTTCCTGTACTGGTGAGGCACCCAGAAACAAAGACTCTGCTGGTGAACTTTGACCCCCTCATCTACCAGGTCATCAGAGAGAGCAACTGCATCATAAAGCTTGGCCTAGAAGTTCCAGAGGAAGCTAAAATGCTTTGTCATACTCAAGATCAGCTGAAAAAATACCAAGAAAAAATGCAGGCAAGTGCCAGATGCCCTGTTATGTTCTTTTTCAGTGACAAAATTTTGTTTAGGTACTTTGTACTTTTGTCTGCAAGTGTTGTGTAGTTAATTTTTTTTAATGCTGATGTAAAAGGCAGTAGTATGAACTTTAATTTAATGATATAATGAGCACAAAAATTTTTTTACATTTAGGTTCTCTAAAACTACTATGGTAGTAAAGTTAACATTTATAAGGTTTTTCTTGCGCCATGATATTACGTAGTTTAAATATGTAAGACTGAAAAGTGCAACTATTCATTTTATTTTTATTTATTCAAAATAGATAAATACCATTTTTAGTTTATGCATGACATATCTCCTTGCATTACAGTTGCTGCTTGAAGAAAATGAAAAAATTCGGGGCCAGATTCCATCAATATTTCTACCTCTTATGGATGCAGTTCTCAAAAAGGTTATTTTCTCTTTCAGATTTTCGTAAATGAAGTGTACAACTCGGTCACCCATTAAAATTCATGTACCATTCTATTTATCTATTTGTATGTTTTTGTTAAAGGAAAACCCAATTTCTTAACTTTTAAGCCTTAAATTTGTTTTGAAATTAAAGTGTTGATTGTAATTTCCAATATAACATGCCAGCAGTATCATATTTGTCTCCATTTGTATTTTTCCCTATTTCAGGTTGACAATGCTATAAGACCAGGGCTCACCATCCTCACTTGGACATCTCTGAACCTAGACCAGTACTTTGATCACATCCAAACCTCCCTCAGGGAGCTGAGGTTGCTCATTAAACAGGTATAACAATGTGGGCAAATGAACATTTTTTTAAAAGAAAATAAATGATAGATTTTTAACTGTAGATTACATTCTTCTAAGACTTGAGATAGCTAAATACAGGGAGGTTGACATATTGGGTGATGTAGTTCTCCGTAGACCTTAACATTTAAGTTTGCATTTGTTATTTTAAATCTTGTGTTTCCTTATTTTCAGATCAGTGATATCAAAGACACCCATATTGACACTCCTCTCTTGGATATCAGTGAAACCATGCTCTGTGACCTGCCTGAAAAAGAACCTTGGACCATACAGGAATTTCTGGATAAAACAAAGGTAAAACTTTTTTGTCTGTGTTAGGAATAAGTGCTTTAAAGAAGATGATCACAGGTTTTCATATCATTGATTTGTCTTTCAGATTATGTAATTGTCACTCTTAGTTTTTTTTTTTTTTTGTTCATGGAGCATGCATCAAGAAATTGAAGTAGAATTTTAATGTCTGAATCAGTAAATTTGAATAAGTTTCTTTTGGTATGTAGACCCTGATATGTAACAATTTGCATCCTTTTTCTTCACTTGTCTGTGGCTTCATCATTAATTGTTTTTCCGCACTTTCAGTTAAAGTGTGAGTCTGAAAGAATATGTAAATCATGTGCTGAAATGTTTGTTTTCCAGAAACACTGTGAAGAATGTGTCGTTGGAATAGAGGCCAAGAGTGAAAAGATAGAAGATGCTGTCATTGAACTCAGCAAGATTTTCCTGACCAGAGCTGGCTATGATTTGGAACCCAAAGCCAGTAAAGGTTAACATTTTGAAAAGAAATATTGTACATATCATAAATAATAACACACGAACACATATACAGGTATGTAATTGTAGGACTATATTACTACTGCAGAGATCATTTGTCTTTGTGTTATTTTACTATTATGTGATGGAATGTTGCAGGATTCAATTTAGCATTATGTTATCTATTCAAGAGAACAGATATTTTGTTTTTTTCACCAGAATCCACCAGTGACCAAACCAGTAAAAAGGAAAAAGATTTAACTTCTCTTATACCATTGAATGTTAGATGATGATACACTTACATAGTGCAAACTTGAACACAACACGACTGGATTCAGATTAGCATTATGTTATCAATTTATGAAAACGGATATATTGCTACAGATAGTGTTTCATTCACCAGAATCCACCAGTGAGCAAGGCTTCGCCAAGATAACTGTAGTGGACACCAGTGAAGATGCTGCTAGTGAGGAAGCCAACAGTGAACAGGAGGAGATGTCTGAGGAAGAAATGTCTCTCAGAGAACAATGTGTGGAACTGAAAAGCTACTTCAACCACAGATTGCTTGATGCTTTGCTCAGGGCAACACGGCTGTCCCTGGATCTCATCAGGAAGAGAGTGTTCTTTCACAAGTATGGCCTAATTTTTACTGTTTCAGATAAGAAGGAAGGGTTAATAAACTTAATCACAAATGCATAGAGCGGGAAACTTTTTCATTTGAATTGCTTAGCATTTACGTGAAAATGAGTGTAATTTGAGTTCTTTTCAGCAGTCACCTTGGCAAGAGGAAAGGAATTGAAGAAGAAACCAGGGATGGAACATTTGACATAGCTTTTTTCAAGGCAGATCTAATTCTTGAAATACCGAATGTGGTAAGTTTGTGTATGTACTAGTAAAGTCTATTAAGTTCAAGTTTTGTTGTTAGTGTGTATTAAGTATATTTGAAGTTTGTTCCGAAAATGTTACCTTTTGTTTGTGTGTTGAAAACTTCTACAAAGCTTCAAAATGAACAACTCTTTTTTCTTTTCAGAAAAATGCTCATTTGAAATCTTTTATGAAGATTTTGAATATTTTATAATCTGGCATATGTTTACTTTATTTCCTCCCACTGTGGTGGTGGTGGGGTGTTTATAATGTTTATGACACTGCCTTGTTATCTTGTTCTACAATTTTCTAAAAGTCTATATGAAAGGTAAATATATACTATATTGTAGGTGATGAAGGCCAGCCTTGATGACATCCAGCAGGCCATCAACAAAGCCAGTCACTATGTGCTGGAGGTCAGTAAAGGTGTTATACAATGGGGACAGCAGAGGTACCAGCTGGCCTCTGTGACAGATCTGGACCCACACCATCACCACACACCTTATGGGAAGAGGATGATGCAAGGAGAGGAGGACAAAAGTGAGGAAGGGGGACTGTGTATTTGTAATGTCCAGTTTGCTGTAATTCCTTCCCATTCTCCAAGGAGTCTGGATGTAAAAGCCTGGATATATTTGAAAGTGAACTTGCATGTTATGAATCCCAATGTATTGAATATGCAATATTATCTTTTGAAACTATTCCCTGAGTGCTGTGCAGTTGAAATGATGATAAAGAAAGCCAAATAGCCACAGCTGTTTGCATTATATGTTATAATGTGAAAAATGATAGTGGATAGTTCATTTTTAATGAATTGTATTTGAAATGATCCTGATAGTTGTGATATATACCCAATGTTCTTCATTAAAACTTTCAGAGTACGAGATGGTTCCCATACCAGAGAACAGGCTGAAGAACTACTTCAAGAACATATCTGATCACAAAGATGTGTCCAAAGTGGTGATGATGCTGAGCTCTGCATGCAATTCCTTCAGAGATGTCATTGGTGAGGCCTTGCAGCAGTACAAGATGTATTACTACCTGTGGGAGAAGGACAGGGAGCAGACTGTTACTGTAAGATACTAGGATCACTAAGCCTACTAAAATTCTGTTTGAAATAGATTTTACTGGTAATAACTCTGATATGGACTAAGACCAGTGGGAGAAAGCTAGGGAAGAAACTATTACTGTAAGATGTAGCTTTGTAGTATAATTTTATAGATTTAGATGGTCACAGTTCTCAGACATGAACTTGTTCAATTTTTTGGACATTTTGCTGGTTATATTCATATGCACCTTTTGATTGGTTTAAAGTTAGATTTAAAATGCAATCTAATGTTTGGATTGGCCAAATATAACTGCAATTTTACTTGAAAACTATAGATTTTTATGTGTGAATTGCTTTACCATTATCGCATGGCACTTACCTAATTGAGTGAGGCGTTTGTGTTTCAGGAATTCTTGCAAACTGAGCCCACCCTTTCAGAGTTCAGAGCAGAGATACAACAGTTTGAACGTCTGCAGGAGGAGATTGATGAAATGGAGCTTACTCAAATTGTGGGGCCTATTGCACTCTCAGCAGGTGGGTGACTGTGGCAACATGGTGAATGTTTAAGTGGCGGGAAGTTCCTTATATATTTTAACAAAAGCTGACATGGAAATTGACTTAACATTTTCCAGAATTAGATAAGATGTATGTTATATAGGTTTTACACATTCATTTTATTGAAGGTCTCTTAAAACAATAATTCCATCTCTCTCTCTCTCTATGGTGCCATGGTTAATATGACCCTCGATGACTTATGATGCCAGTTTCAGCATCCGATTCCTGGCTGCATATTGTTATTTGTTTGTTGATTCCTGTGTTTACCTTTAGTTTGTTTAGAAATGGGAGCCTTTGTCGGCCTCTAAATTTTCTACCCAGGAATCTTTAAGGCTAAGCTGAGGTATTTAATAAAGATTATTGTAACATCTTATTGACCATTGTATCCTGACTATCTGCAGGTCCATTGAAGCTGGCTCTGTCTGTGGAGAGGAAGTCCTGGGAGATGATGTATGCCCGCCAGCTGAACATCAAGTACAAGGAGAAGATGGAGGAGATTGGGGAGTTTGTGGAGCAGTACATGCTGAGGCTGAGCAGACCCATCAAAGACCTGGAGGACGTCAGACACTCTATGGAGGGACTGGAAGATATCAGACAGAACCAGATTAGAATTGATATGACTCTGGGGCCCATTGAGGCAAGTGAAGAGAAAAGAATGTACAACATATTGTGACTAATATGACATTAAGATGTTTGTTGGAGATCTTGTGACTGATTTTCATTAAAGAGAAAGCCTTTATTACTGAAATTTACCTGTACTAGAAAACAAAAGCCGTAGGTCAACTGGTTTGCTTACAAAAATATATAAATAATGAAACTGATCTAAAAGAATTGCCTTCGAATGATAAACAATAATATTGATTATATTATAATAATAACTGTTCCAAAAGAATTGACTTCTCATTATAAACAATAATAGTGATTATAATGATTATTCTGCAGGAGGCATATGCTATGCTGGCCAAATATAACATCAGTGTCACTAATGAGGAGACTAATAAAGTGGACACTTTAAGATACTCTTTCATGAAGTTGATCAGAAAGGCTGTAAGTTACTATTTATTTTGTACAGAATAAATTATGATATTTGATAGCATTGACATTGTTCTGTTCAAACTAATCTGTAGGTATGTCATTGTGGTAGTATGTTTTCAAACATTTGCTTTGGAGATTTTTAATGTGTAATTTTGAAAACCTTGAAACCTTCATTGTGATCTTTGCTTGTTATCAGGGAGAGATACAAGATGAACTTGTCAAAATACAGCCAAATTTCAAGAGTGAGTTACTCCATGCTGTCGAGGTGTTCCATCATGATCTTGACGATTTCAGAAATGAGTATGACTCTGTAAGTATCAAGCAAAGAAGGCTTTTAAAGATGTTAACTTCACAGTATCCTAGCTCTGATGGTGTTTAATATAATTGAGAAGCAGTGATTAAGGTGCCATCTTCCTATTAACGAGATAGAATTGTTGCCTCTCATAAAGAACATTCCTTGTTGTACAAGTTTTGTAGCTTTGTGGCTATAAGTTATGTGCCCTTTACATATACGAATAGGAACTTTATATTAATGATATCATTCACTTCAGATGGGTCCAATGGCAGAGGGAATTCCACCTCAAGAAGCTAGTGAAAGATTGACCATTTACCAAGTGAGTATCTGATTAGGTTTTCATTAACCACTTAAGGAAATATTGAACTATGTCAGCATATAAGAAAATGTTTCATGTTGTTTCCATCATAATATAAAAGAATCAGTAATATTATATTACTGATATTACAGGCAATGTTTAATTAAAGTGATGTTGCCAAGGGTGAACAACACTCTTGTATGTAAGGTGCATGTAATCCAACTAATGAGAAAGCAATCAGAGTATATTGATACTAAAAGTGTTCACTTCTTGTCTTGTTGTAGAACCGATTTGATGACCTGTGGCGTAAGTTCAACACCTACTCAGCCGGGGAGCAGCTGTTTGGTCTGCCAGTGACGGACTACCCAGACCTGGCCAAGACCAAGAAAGAGCTGACTCTGCTCCAGAAGCTGTATGGACTGTACAATGCTGTGATGGCAAGTATTAATGGGTACTTTGACATCATCTGGACAGAGGTAGATATTGAGAAGATCAATGCGGAGCTGATGGACTTCCAGAACAGGTGGGTTTCTACTTCTTTGCCAAGCTGTTACTGACAAGCACTACATGGGTCTGGACCTTTTGGCATTACATGTGTCTATTGTTGCCCTTGCTGTGCCATTTTCTTGTTAACACCATATAAGGAAAACCTTTTCATTTATAATAGTCTTCCAGCACAGGTATGTTTCTACTTTTACATGCAAGTTTTTTTTTTAATGAAGTAGTTTATTAGTTGAAAAAATGGTCCATGTTTTTGAAGAGGTATGGTCACATTACATACAATATGTACATTTCCTCTTCCTTTATCATGCATGGTGAGGTTAATTAGGACATTTATATTAAAGGGCAGTTGTACATCAACTTTATTTTCAATTTTTAGGTGTCGCAAACTTCCCAAAGCCCTGAAAGACTGGCAGGCCTTCTTGGACCTGAAGAAGAAGATAGATGACTTCAGTGAGTCCTGTCCACTGCTGGAGATGATGGCTAACAAAGCCATGAAGGACAGGCACTGGGACCGTATTGCTAACCTGACAGGACACACCTTTGACTTGGAGAATGAAAACTTTGCTCTCAGAAATATCATGGAGGCACCACTGCTAGAGAGCAAAGAAGATATTGAGGTGAGTTTTTTTATCTTATTGTAAATAGATATTATTCTGAGAAAAATATCTATTTTTATTCAGTTTTTTATGTGAAAAATTAACTGTATAGCAGAAGTTTCACAATTTTGTAATGTTAAAAGTAGGTTTTTGCATCTTCCAATTTGATTTTTATAGTATTATTGATTGGAAAGTCCTCACAATTCATTACCTAAGTTATGATCATATGTACTCTGTGTTGTAGGATGTGTGTATCTCAGCAGTGAAGGAGAAGGACATAGAGGCCAAACTGAAGCAGGTGGTGGCTGACTGGAGCAACCAGGTGTTGAGCTTTGCTCCCTTCAAGAACCGTGGTGAGCTGCTACTGAAGGGTGGAGAGATTCAGGAGATTGTGGCTCTGATGGAAGACAGCTTGATGGTGTTGAGCTCACTGCTGAGTAACAGGTGGGTTGTGTATGACGTGAAACACTGATAGAATTGACTACAATTAAAGTTAAGTTGCAAGTTGATAACAGCTCCAAGGCTACCTGATCAAATTTAGATTTCTGTAAGCCTTAGTGTCTTTCCATGTTTGCCATTTCAACTAGTTGTTTTGGAATAGCTTAGATCATGCTTGACAAAATATAATCATTCTTTTAGCTGGAGTTTGATTTAAATACTATAAGAATGGTATTTTATAACCCTATATATTGATGTCGTATCTTCACCCAGGTACAATGCCCCATTTAAGAAGGATATCCAGGAGTGGGTGTCCAAACTGTCCAACACCACAGATATCATAGAGAATTGGATGGTTGTACAGAACCTGTGGGTCTACCTGGAAGCTGTGTTTGTGGGAGGAGATATCGCTAAACAGTTGCCGACGGTATATTTATTTTAGAGTATTTATTGTAACTATTTTAGTTTTTAATTTGTGAATGGTTTATTTATACCGATGTGTGAAAATGATGTTTTTGTCAAAGAAATATAAGCACTGAAAGATGAATTATTCTGCACTCGTTTCTAAATTTATACCAATTTTTTTGGCAGTACATCTTCTTAAGTTGTAATGATTTTGATCCATGGTAGTAAGGCACAGTATGACTGATATGTTTTAATTGTGGTGTACAATTATGTTATGCATGCCAGTAAGATATATTTTCTATTTTGAAAATAATATTAAACTCTTTAAGAACATTCAGTGCAAGCAAGCCTCTACAGAATTTGTTATGATTCATTTATTTTGCTTAGGAAGCCAAACGTTTCCAAAACATAGACAAATCCTGGGTGAAGATAATGACGCGGGCCCATGAGACCACCAATGTGGTGCAGTGTTGTGTTGGAGATGAAACACTTGGCCAGCTACTGCCTCACTTACTGGAGCAGTTAGAGCTGTGTCAGAAGTCACTGACTGGGTAAGTTCAATTGGAATTTGGAAACGTGTCAAAGCAAGCCCATACAGTTAAATCATTTTATTGTGATTTGCAATTAACTGTTAAATTTAATTTGCAACACATAACTAATGACTTGAATTATCATTTAGTTGAACAAAACTTTGGTATTGAAAAATGAAAAAATTGAAATTGACATGAGCAGTGCTTTTTAAATTTCAATCTTCACAAAAAATGTTTTCCATTCTAAAAGTAGAAATATGTTATATTCCACTGTGCCAGTGGTAATTGACCACTATGATTATCTTAACTATATGTATGTGTCAAATTCCAGATATCTTGAAGGCAAGAGACTGCTATTCCCTCGATTCTTCTTTGTATCAGATCCAGCCTTACTGGAAATCTTGGGTCAAGCCAGTGATTCTCATACTATTCAGGTGGGTAGACAGTTTTAGATACTCTGAAAAGATTTAAAACTACAAACATGTTGTCATGAGGCCAACATATGGTGCCACCAATTCCTCAGTTTTGGTATGCACACTGACTTTTATATTTATTTTTTATTTATTAATATGATATCTTTTCTTTTCCAGGCTCATCTTCTGGGAGTGTTTGAAAATGTGAATGAAGTGGAATTCCATGAGAAAGACTATGATAGGATATTGGCTTGTGTGTCAAGAGAAGGAGAAAAAATTATGGTAGCTAGGTTATTCTGAAATAACTTCTGGACTTACTTCTGGATATGTTTATGTGATGAATGTTTTAGGTCTTAGTTTGGTTTGGTATCCAGAAGTTGGTTGTTGTTTTAATTTTGATTTTATCTCATTATATCTTTAGCAATAGTAAACATGCACCTTGGAAAGCAGATTACATTTTATTATAATTTTTATCACAGATTATCTTAGAAAACTTTGACAATATCACAACATCACACGACAAACTTGTATTTGACACACAAGTATTTCAAATTTTATACCACAATAAACACTTGATCTAAACTTACAACTTTCAATCTTCTCTTCTTGTAGCTAGAGACAGAGGTGATGGCCAAGGGTAATGTGGAGACCTGGCTGATGGAGCTGCTTATTCAACAACAGAAGTCTCTCCATGCTATCATCAGAGAGGCTGACAGAGTGATCAATGACTCTGGATTTGACATGCTTAAATTCCTCAATGACTACATAGCTCAGGTATTTTAGAAGAAAGTTTAAATTAATTACATACATACATGTGTCATTTGCAACTGATTGAAGTAATACTACAATATCTGATGATGATGATGATGATGATAATATTAATAATAATAATAATAATTAACTACTTTCTGAAATGATATTCTATCAGATATTCTGTCAGATATTTCATATTGAATTATTTTGTCATAAAAAAAGAAAAAATTGAGATTTATATTATTTAGTAAAATATTAACAGATTGTATTGTGCCAGAGGGGAACTTTACTTGTATATTACTCTGATTATTACTGTGTTCTACTGTGTAGGTTGGCCTGCTGGGTATCCAGATGTTGTGGACCAGGGACGCGGAGGAGGCTCTCACCAATGCCAGACATGACAAGACCATCATGGGGATAACTAACCAGAAGTTCCTAGACATCCTGAACAAACTCATTGAGCAGACCACCCATGAACTGACCAAAGTGGAGAGGGTCAAGTTTGAGACTCTGGTCACCATCCATGTCCACCAGAGGGATATATTTGATGATTTGGTGAGAAAATATTAATACTAACAACATAATCCTGTGTAATCACATCTTCAGGGAAGATTTAGTAATTTGGGTGTGGTTCACTTTGTACTTATAAACAGATGTTTAGAGCCAGGCCCTATGAATATAAATACATTTAATAATCAGTTAATTATTGATATCATTATTAAGCAAATTGTGGTTGGCATATGGAACACCTTTTTAAAAATATTTCAGTGTATAAATACTGGAATCTGTTGTTATGCAAGCATTAAGTACCATGCATAGATACAATCAAGTTAACCCTTTTATTTTAATCTCTTTTTTTAGACCAGAATGCACATTCGTAACCCAGCAGACTTTGAGTGGCTGAAACAAGCCAGGTTTTACTTCAAGGAAGACACAGATCAGTGTATTGTATCTGTGACTGATGTGGACTTTATCTACCAGAATGAGTCTCTGGGATGTACTGATAGGCTGGTGATTACACCTCTCACTGACAGGTAAGACTACTCCCAAAATAGGGTATTGTTTGTGACATGGAAATGATGATGTCTGTATTACTTGTTATGAACGGTCACAATTGTTTTCTGATTTAATTAAGATGTCTGATTTATTCATTTATTATTAGTATTATTGTTTTATTTATATATATTTTTTTATTTTTTAATTAATTCATTTTTTTATAGAAAAGGGAGAATAATTATGTCATCAATAGTTTTAGACTTGTGTGGCCTCATTATTGGGCTTTTGCACAGAATTCATTTCGTAGATGAACAAAATAAACAAAAAGCTCTTTATATCATCTTGATTATTTTGTAACACAATCATGATACATGTATGAGTATAACATGCTCATTGCTATGTCCCAGGTGTTACATCACCCTGGCCCAGGCCCTGGGTATGTCCATGGGTGGAGCCCCTGCAGGACCAGCTGGTACAGGCAAAACTGAAACCACCAAAGACATGGGCAAGGCACTGGGAAAGTATGTGGTTGTCTTCAACTGCTCAGATCAGATGGACTTCAGGGGACTGGGAAGGATTTATAAAGGTGGGCAGTTAAAGAATAAGAATATGGCTGACAATGTTGAGCTTCATGCTTATTAGTCTGGGCCCAGTTTTATAAAGGGTGTTTAGCACTAACCAGTGTTTAACTCTAACCAGACCTAAACAGTCTGTTAGTTAACTGACCTTAAAATAATTATTTAATCCAGTCAAACACTGGCCAGTTAACTAATTGGCTGTTTTCCGTTAGAAGACTGTATATAAAACACAATTTAACCATCTTTTAGTTAATGGGTGTTAGGGGAATTTATCCACTGGTTAGTGCTAAACGTCCTTTATAAAACTGGGCCCTGTTTAAAAGAAGTGTCACGTTTACTGTTTTCAATAGACTTTTTGAAAGAGACTAAGTGGAATTTTGTAAGAATAAAATGTGAAGGTTTATATTTGGGGTCTTTTAATTTTGTCCTTAATTTGAATGCTAAATAACTTTTATTTGATCATGTGTTAAGTCTTTCTTGTACACAGTTCAAAGAATGCTTTGTTAAATTATATCTACCAGGTAAAGTAACACTAATTAGACAGTTTTAAAAAAGTACTTTCTTGCAATCCAGGTCTAGCTCAGTCAGGCTCGTGGGGTTGTTTTGATGAATTCAACCGTATTGACCTCCCTGTGTTGTCTGTGGCTGCCCAGCAGATCCACATCATCCTGTCTGCCAGGAAAGAGAGGAAGAAGCAGTTCATTTTCTCTGATGGAGACACTGTTGATCTCAATCCAGAGTTTGGATTCTTTATCACCATGGTTTGATATATTGTTTTTTGTAACCCTGCCAACTTTGATGTTTTCTGCAGAATGAATGTTCAACAAGTAGTATGCTGTGTCAAATGACTAATTCATAAACTTGCTTAGAATTTTTTTATAAATTGAATTTTTCAACTCTTTTGATTGGATTATTCATGGAATCAAAATTCATATTAAATCACAATTTGTATTTAAAATTTATGGGAGAAAATGTGTCAAGAATAATTTAAATCTGTTTACCTTTCCAGAACCCAGGTTATGCAGGTCGTCAAGAGCTCCCAGAAAACTTGAAGATTCAGTTCAGATCAGTGGCCATGATGGTACCAGACAGACAGGTGAGAGTTCTTCTAGTTTATTTGAAATATACCTCAAGTAGCTCTCTTAATTGTTAATTAATGCCATGCAAATTATTTGTAAATTCTCTGACAATTACCTTTTCTCTGATGACCGTATACATTTTTAATTTCAAATTTTGTTTTAATCTTTTCATAGATCATTATGAGGGTGAAGTTAGCTTCTTGTGGTTTCATTGAAAATGTTATCCTGGCCCAGAAGTTTTACACCTTGTACAAACTTTGTGAAGAACAACTGTCAAAGCAGGTACTTGTTGGCTTCTTTTTTATATAAAAAAGAAACATTTTTTATATATAAATAAGACTTAACTGCCTAGAATTTAATGAAAGTCAAAATTAGATTTACTGGTATTAATTATTCTGAGAACAAGGCATGCATTTGTTATGCACTGCCCTCCAACCATGGGTAATTCTGCATCTATTCATAGATTCTAACATTTAATAGTGATATTTTCTGTTTCAGGTTCATTATGATTTTGGCTTGAGGAACATCCTGTCTGTGCTGCGTACTTTAGGAGCACAAAAGAGAGCCAGACCAACAGAGACAGAGAGCACTATTGTCATGAGAGTGTTGAGAGACATGAACTTGTCTAAACTAGTAAGAAAGTTTTCTCTTTAGTACATATTAATGATATTATGAACTGTTTAACACTAGCACAATCAAACAAAAAATGGCTATGATTTGAAAAATATAAGCTATCTGTGTAAAACAATATTGGAGACATTTGGTTGAAAATGGATAAGCTTTTGGCAGGCAGTGGCACTCAAGGTGGTTGACTATAAACTAAGGCCTTTAATTTGGCAGCCTGAGAACTGCTCATCTGTTTTCATTTATAATTATTTTACTCTGTATTAAGGCACTGGTCATTTGTGAAGCCTAACTGTTGATCCTGTCTCCTAGGTTGATGAAGACGAGCCCCTGTTCCTCAGTCTGATTGGAGACTTGTTCCCTGGGATCCAGCTGGACAATGCCACCTATGAAGAGCTACAGGTGGCCATTGAGAAAGAAGTCAGTGATGTCAAACTAGTCAATCATCCGTCCTGGAATCTGAAGCTTGTTCAGGTGAGATAACTGGCTCACATAGCACTGTAATTACAGAGGGGAATTTAACCTGTTAGTCATAGAGTGCAGTTTCAGTGACATCTCAGTTTATGCCTCTCCTAGTGGCCCTGCTTCTTCCTGCCTACAATTTTCCTTCTTTTTTTTTTTTTGCTTAGCATTCTTTAGAAACTCCTAGTTGCTTATTAATAAATGTTCAACACAAAATTCCATTATTTGTTTACAACAAACAATGATAAAAATTAAGATAAAACCCTCAACCACAAGACCAAACATTGTGGATTATAATGACTGGACAAAGATGGTTAGAAGTGTTGATCTGGACAAAAGACAATTTGAAAATATGTAATATGTAACACCCATTTTGGAAAAAGTGCTATAAATGAACATATTTATATCACCATATTTTCCAGCTGTACGAGACCCAGAATGTGCGTCATGGTATGATGACCCTAGGTCCCAGTGGTGCAGGTAAAAGCTGCTGTATTCATGTGTTAATGAAGGCAATGACAGACTGTGGAGCCCCACACAGAGAGATGAGGATGAATCCTAAGGCCATCACTGCTCCACAGATGTTTGGGAGACTGGATGTGGCCACTAATGACTGGACTGATGGCATTTTCTCTACTTTGTGGAGGAGGAGTCTGAAGGCTAAGAAAGGTATAGCTTTTCATGTTTGGAATGTGTCCTTCAGGAATATTTAACAAGAACTGTGGGGGAATATTTCAAGACATCTTTTTTGTGAACAGCAGAGGTGAACATATAGGACATCAAGAAATATTTTCTATCAATATTAGAAAAATATAGTGAATTCTTTCAGCTGAACCTCAATGGTTTGAATACTGTTACCTTGACTATAAATTTTGATGGTCTTGTATTTGAAGAAGCATACCTGCATTTGAGTCTTTATTGTTCATTTTTTTATCCATTCATTAATTTGTTTGTTTATATATTTGTTCATGTATTTGTTTTTGTCAACTCTTTCAGGTGAGCACATCTGGATAGTGTTGGATGGCCCTGTTGATGCTATATGGATTGAGAACTTGAACTCTGTACTGGATGACAACAAGACTCTCACTCTGGCCAATGGTGACAGGATTCCCATGTCTCCCACCTGTAAGATTATATTTGAGGTACACAACATTGACAATGCTTCTCCTGCCACAGTGTCTAGGAATGGTATGGTCTACATGAGTTCATCTGCTCTTGACTGGAGGCCAATACTACAGGTATGTTATTACTCAGGTCTTTGGATATAAGGCAGATATATGACAGGGGTTGATTATGTTTTTCTTTCATAATTTATAGATTTGTAAGTGTAGAATTCTTTGGGTCTTGATAATCAGATTATTACAGTTCTTACATTATGCTTTTATATATTTCAGAATATAAATGGAAAGCAATGTAGGATGTGATATGAAAAATGTATTTTGATAGATAAATAAATAAATATAGCCTTGTGCACCTCACTGTTGGTGTTCTAATAATAGAAACAATGTAACAGACTTTATTCGTGCATATAAATAATGGTTATTAAAACTATCTTTAAGGGTTGGCTGAACAACCGTATACCTGCTGAAGCTGACATTCTACAAGGGCTGTTTGACAAAATCTTTGATGACATCTACAACTATGCCTCAGTCAGCTTGGAATCCAAGATGGAGGTCTTGCAGTGCAACCAGATCAGACAGGTAAATGACTCCATTGTGTATCATATATATGGTGAAGTTGGTACTTTTAATAGCACACTTTTTTCTGTTACTCAAATACTTAGTTAAACTTACAAGTAAAATCACTTTCCTGAATATCTATAAATGTAATTATATGGCATGATCAAAAACTACAAGATGATCACTTTTTTCTTGATGTAGCACACATATAATAATGTATAGTTTATCTTTCAAAGATTATTTTTAAGGTTCCTTTTGAATTTTTTTTGCCCTTCAACTAACTAAATTTTTAAAGCTCATAATTCTCTTTTTCTCTCTCAACCATCTCTGTAGACCTGTGACTTGTTGGAGGGGCTGATCATACATGCCATTGACCATGACAAGGCTCACTACAGTGCCAACCACCTGGAGAGAATCTTCATCTTTGCCTTGATGTGGAGCATAGGAGCTCTGCTGGAGCTGGAAGACAGAGCCAAGATGGAGGAGTTCCTGAAGTCACATGAAAGTCACCTTGACTTGCCACCTGTCAAAGGAGAAGAGACCATCTTTGAATATGTGGTCAGTGCTTCAGGTAGGAGATTTTTGTCAAATTTAGTTACACAGATCATATGAGGAAAATGTTTATACTGGTAAAAAAACATGGTCAAAAATTATACATGGTCCTTGAAAAATATGTTATTGTTTTTAATACTTGTTTTTTGCATGGACTGTTGTTGATTTAGTGGTTAAATGAAAAAGATTTAGTATAAACACCAGGGGCCAATTCCATAAAAGCATTCTAACTTAGCATGATACTAGGCCTTAGAATGATTCTAAATCCCTAGTTGTATACTTGTTAGCAATCAACTAATTTCTATTCCATAAAACCAAACTAAGAATCATTCTTACTAGTTGCTTGCTAAGATTTGGCTAGAATGGTGTATTCATAGGAAAACCACAAAACCACAGGGTCAGTTACGCCAAACAAAAGGCAGTGACAGTGAAAGTTGAGCTGATTGCAGGCTGAGGGAAGTACTGGTCAAGGCATTACCATGTATTCTATAAAAGCCCTATACAGAAAGGGGTCAAAATGGCAACTTCAGGGAAGAGACAACGAAAGCCCAATTATTCAACACAAGAAAATCTCTTTATTGTGTTATTTATTTATTATTTATTTTGTNACTTAAATCCAAGGTTATTTCTTATTTCATTCTCTCAAGCAAGAATAAAGTTTAGAATCTATTTTGTATGAACAATGCACGTGCTCTGTGTCCATTTAAATGTCCAGTGTATTCCTCCAAATCTGGTTGCGGCCGCCCTGGTTCGATATCCTCAACCTGTGGTTCATTTCTATCAACTGCTATGTTGTGGAGCACTGCTGTTGCTGCAATTACTTTGCATGTATCTTCAGGATTCCTCAGTCGACTTTCAAGGTGCAGTATGTGGAATCTTCTCTTCCATCTTCCGATAGTTTGCTCTACCAAAACTCGAGTACACTTATGAGCTGAATTATAATGTTGCTCAGATGCAGTCTGTGGGTTTAGAAGAGGAGTCATGAGCCACCTGCGGCAAGGATATCCGCTATCTCCAAGAATAAAGGCATCAACTGCCCCACTCTCCATTAGATCCCATACTTGGCTACTTCTCAATACCCTGCTATCATGAGCTCCTCCTGGCCATCGTGCCACAATATTTGTGAATTTCCCCTTGTGGTCACAGATAACTTGCACATTGATTGAATGATATCCTTTTCTGTTCACATAGTCAGCTTCGTAACAGTGAGGGGTGTTAATCCAAATGTGAGTACCATCAACGCAACCTATCACACCTGGGAAGTGTATGTTTCTCATCCTGTAGAACCCATCTTTGATATTGGCCATATTTTGTGCATTTGGAAATTCCACATAATCCCCAATTCTTGCTGCAAGAGCATTTGATACATGATGAATTGCACGCCAAGCGGTTTGCTGGGACACTTGCAAAGGGTCCCCAACAACATATTGGAATGTGCCTGTTGCATAGTATTGCAGGGCTATCATTACCTGCTGGCATGGTAATAAGGCATGATTTCTCCTGGTTGGATGAGTAATGTCATTTTTGACAATGTCAGTTATCAGCAAAATGCCTTCTCTGGAAAATCGGTATCTTTTTACAAGTTCCACATCATCAAAAACGTCCAACGGATTCCTTCTATCCCGAAACACTCTTTCCCGCCGCATTGCTCTGCGGAGTTCCACTATTTCTAAAATTCTCCTGGCCATCCTTACACCTCGGAGGTGTGGGTAGAAATGAATTAGAATGATACTAGTGATTTAGAAGAGACCCAGACCTACTCTAACTTTAGCATGAAACTTAGAACTATACTAGGCTTAGAATGGTTTTATGGAATAGAGTTAGTAGGTAACTAGAGATAGAATGAAGTTTAGCAACCAACTAGGGCTTAGAATGCTTTTATGGAATTGGCCCCAGATGTTAAATCCTGGGATCTACTACACATATTTCTATCCATACTCTAGGTGAATGGGAGCACTGGCTACTGCGAGTGGAGGAATATGTGTACTCCTCAGAGTTTGTGCCAGAATTCTCCTCTATCCTTGTCCCCAATGTAGACAATGTCAGGACCAGCTTTCTGATAGAAACCATTTCAAAGCAGAGCAAAGTGAGTATATGTATTTACATTTTCAGAAAGCTTTAAAATATTTGCTCAGGAAAGCAATCTGCATTTGAATGTTATTATGATTGTTCCTAATATTGTTCAAGCTATGCATCAAGAATGACCTGTAACTGATAGACTTGCCTGGCACATTGTTGTTCACTTTTAACATTATATATTGCAGACCAGCACTTGATATTCATTTTATTCCTTAATGTCAGGAAATAAAATTAGTCACATTTCCTCTCTCTCTATATTCTTCATAACAGTACTTAGTTCACTTTGTAGGCTGTGTTGTTGATTGGTGAGCAGGGTACAGCCAAGACTGTGATGATTCAGGGTTATATGGCCACCTATGATCCTGACCAACACCTCAGTAAGAGCTTTAACTTCTCATCAGCTTCAACACCTATGATGTTCCAGGTGAGGACATGTAACTGAACAACTTCTCTGATTACCTATTGTATGATAACTTTGTAATAAACTTAAAACAGGGTATATATTTAGTACTATTTTCACTATGTTTCATTTGTATCTTATTGAGTTGCAGGACCCTAGGTTTCTGCAGTCGCAATGACAGCTTCACCGCAGGCTCAAGTGCATCCTGACTTAAACAGCATGATAATCTAAGTGTGTGAAATCGAATATCAGTAATCAAAAACATGAATGGTATACAGGCAGTGATAGCAATGATTGAAAGCTATATTAAGGTTCAAAACTTAAAGTTTGAATACAATATTTTAACTTCCACAAACATTAATTATAATTTCGGATAGAAATATAAAAGAATAAAAAATACACCTTCAAGAAAAGCATGAATGCCATGAGCTGCTTGTCCATCAGCAACTTCAGAAGTCCTTCTGCCTTCGGGTTTTCATGGCTAACAGTGGACAGGTGTGCCTCAAGAGCATTATAGGACTTGAGAAGAGCAAGAATTCCTCTCAATAAGTGTGGAAGCCACCGTGTCCCTGTCACCTTTGGAGGATAGACACCAGACTTTACTGCCTCAATAGCTCTTTTAAGCCCCTGCTTGTTTTTGTATTATATAGAAGTAATACAAGCCAATGAAGTCGAGGGTCATCAATTTATCATACAGTTTGAGAGGCTTGGCCACATCTCTGAATGCCAAATCTAGGCGATGGCACAAACAATGTACATTTACAATCTCACTGTTTATGTTATCCTTCACCAATGTTGGTAGTACAGAGCGAGCACCGACCAGTTTGTCTGCAAATATAAAGGGAAACTTTAGTTTTAACAAGGTTACTTCTGTTTGCAAATTAAAGTAAGATGTCCTTTATTCCCTTTATATGAATGAAAGAAAATTTATAAACAACAAAAAAAGTTATCATGTTTCTTTAAACTGAAACTAAATTATTTATTTACCCTTGTCAGTTTGATTCTTCTGAAGTACTTCTATTCAATCAAGTGTTCATACAGGTCTTGGGATTTTGTAGACTTGGATGAACTTATATCCAAAAACCTTTCAGAGACATTTCCTTTAAAACAAGTCCTGATATAAACAGTTTCTTGTTCATTGCCCGCGATGTCTGTGCTTCCATCCATCAAAAATGAAAAAAAAAAGGGCNAATATGTTATTGTATTTAATACTTGTTTTTTTGCATGGACTGCATGTTGATTTAGTGGTTAAATGAAACAGTGTTAGTATTAACACCAGATGTTAAATCCTGGGATCTACTACACATATTTCTATCCATACTCTAGGTGAATGGGAGCACTGGTTACTGCGAGTGGAGGAATATGTGTACTCCTCAGAGTTTGTGCCAGAATTCTCCTCCATCCTTGTCCCCAATGTAGACAATGTCAGGACCAGCTTTCTGATAGAGACTATTTCAAAGCAGAGTAAAGTGAGTACATGTTCTTACACCTTTTGAATATTTGCTCAGGAAAAGAGTCTGCATTTGAATGCTGTTATGATGGTTTCTAATATTGTGCAAACTGTGCATCAGGAATAGCCTGTAACTGATACACTTGCCCAAAACATTGTTGGGCACTTAAAACATTATTTATTGCAGACCAATGCTTAATACTCCCTTTATTCCTTAATTTCAAGTAATGAAATAAGTTACATTTCCATTATAACATTATTTATTTCAGATCAACACTTAATATTTGGTTTATTCCTTAATGTCAGGGAATTAAATTAGTCGCATTTAATCTGTATATTTCCTAAATATATTAGCAATTTATATACATGTTTTTTTTCCTTTTGTAGGCTGTGTTGTTGATTGGTGAGCAAGGTACAGCCAAGACTGTGATGATCCAGGGTTATATGGCCACCTATGATCCTGACCAACACCTCAGCAAGAGCTTCAACTTCTCATCAGCTTCAACACCTATGATGTTCCAGGTGAGGACATGGAACTTTTTAGTGGAAAGCAAATTGATTATAATTTGCCACTCTCCTTACACTAGACCAGGTAATAACACCTTTTAGATCAATGCCTCCAGATTGGGGCCAATTCCCAAAATTCAAGATCCTCTGTGGCATTGAACACATTTTCTGTTTCTGTGTCAAATCTTTGCCTTATTGCATCACAGAACCTTTGCAAAATTTTGTTCCTATGTGCTGTTGATGGAGTTGGCCCTGACAGTTGAACACCACCATACACCACAGTATCAATAACTTGCTGTACAGCAGCACTGGTCCTAATATTTAACAATATTGGTACAAATTCTATTCAAAGTAGACTAAAAAAAACAAATAACATGATTGAATATTAAGAGAAATTTTTCTGAAAATGTGACATTTTGTGTTTAATAAATTTAAACCTGTTGTGCTTTAACTGAAATTGGTATATCTGATATCATAATAAATCTTAGATGAACTGTGTATTTAAGTTTTACCATTTCCTAAATTTCACAAACCTAAAAAAATAAAAAACAAAAGTATTCATAAAATATAAGTATAGTACCTTTCCTTTTTCTCACTTAGAAGCTCAACTGTAGAATCGACCCAAACAAGGCTGACAGGACTCTAGGTTTCTGCAGCCGCAATGACAGCTTTATTGCAGGCTCCAGTGCATCCTGACTTAAACAGCATGATAATCTAAGTGTGTGAAATCGAATATCAGTAATCAAAAACGTGAATGGTATACAGGCAGTGATTGCAATGATTGAAAGCTATATTAAGGTTCAAAACTTAAAGTTTGAATACAATATTTTAACTTCCACAAACATTAATTATAATTTCGGATAGAAATATAAAAGAATAAAAAATACACCTTCAAGAAAAGCATGAATGCCATGAGCTGCTTGTCCATCAGCAACTTCAGAAGTCCTCCTGCCTTCGGGTTTTCGTGGCTAACAGTGGACAGGTGTGCCTCAAGAGCATTATAGGACTTGAGAAGAGCAAGAATTCCTCTCAATAAGTGTGGAAGCCACCGTGTCCCTGTCACCTTTGGAGGATAGACACCAGACTTTACTGCCTCAATAGCGCTTTTAAGCCCCTGCTTGTTTTTGTATTATATAGAAGTAATACAAGCCAATGAAGTCGAGGGTCATCAATTTATCATACAGTTTGAGAGGCTTGGCCACATCTCTGAATGCCAATTCTAGGCGGTGGCACAAACAATGTACATTTACAATCTCACTGTTTATGTTATCCTTCACCAATGTTGATAGTACAGAGCGAGCACCGACCAGTTTGTCTGCAAATATAAAGGGAAACTTTAGTTTTAACAAGGTTACTTCTGTTTGCAAATTAAAGTAAGATGTCCTTTATTCCCTTTATATGAATGAAAGAAAATTTATAAACAACAAAAAAAGTTATCATGTTTCTTTAAACTGAAACTAAATTATTTATTTACCCTTGTCAGTTTGATTCTTCTGAAGTACTTCTATTCAATCAAGTGTTCATACAGGTCTTGGGATTTTGTAGACTTGGATGAACTTATATCCAAAAACCTTTCAGAGACATTTCCTTTAAAACAAGTCCTGATATAAACAGTTTCTTGTTCATTGCCCGCGATGTCTGTGCTTCCATCCATCAAAAATGAAAAAAAAAAAGGCATTCATTCAACAATTTTCTAATTGATGCGTGCTCGGTTTCTGCAATACTGTTTACAAATGATGCAGCAGCCCTGTTATTCATGTATGTTGTCCCTAAGTCCAAGTTTTTAGCAATGTCAAGCTTGCAAAGCCAGGTGAAATCTGTCAGTGGCCCGTTATGTTTCGCAATGGCATGCGCATTACGAAATATTTACCTTTAGACGATCTCTTTCTGCTGTCTGAAGTTTACACAGGGTCTGCCCAGCCTGTGACCAGGTTTTCTCTTTGTCAGTTTTCTTTTTGTTCATGAAGGAACTCTGGGCCCTAACGTGCCCCTTAGCCAACTCGTGGTCATTCACTGTGGACATACAAAAATTGTCAGAGCCCACAATGAAGACTTTTGACTTCTGCTGCTGGTAGTCGTTGCTGTAATACTCCTGGCTCTCGGAACAGAACATTTTTTTCAGCTCAGGATTGGATGTCAGCCATGGCCTATCTTCTCTCCATTTGTCACTGAATTTCCGTTCAACTCGTTTCTTTTCATATTCTTTTTGTTTCTTACTTTTCTCTTCCTCGTTTGTCTTGCTGTATTTTGCAGAGGACCATAGAGAGCTATGTCGACAAGCGTATGGGCAGTACATATGGTCCCCCAGGTGGTAGGAAGATGACGGTGTTTGTAGATGATGTCAATATGCCTATCATCAATGAGTGGGGAGATCAGGTGAGGGGCAGGTTTTTGTGTGCTTTTTATTTAAATTGAATTAGGTACTTTAAGACTTTTCTATGATCATCATCACTGATATGTTTCAAGATGGTAATTTGTAGTAATAATAATAAATTATATTTATTTGAAGTCTAAAATCCAATAAATTCAGAAGACATTTCAATGTT